AGGGAGGCCACTGAGACTGGCGAAGCCCCCTTTTGCGTCAGCGCTGACATTCGTGCTGCCCATCGCTTGGTCAAGGTGAGGAGGGCTGATTGGGGCTATATGTGTTGCAAAGCAGATTCACAGTCAGATGTTATTTGGGTTAACCGGACGGGCACATTTGGTATTTCCAGTGCACCATATTGGTGGTCGAAACTTGCTGGCTTGCTGGGGAGATTCGTTGGTTACATGTTTCATCAGCGTTGGATGATGCACATGATCTATGTGGACGATCTCCATGGCGTCTTTGCCGGGGAGCACAAGTTCCTGTTCTTGTGGGTCTGGCTCCTTGCGTTTGAGGTTGCAGGTACGCCATTTGGATACCACAAATTCAAGGGTGGATATGCTTCAGAGTTTGTTGGGTTTCAGCTGCGATATGACTTGGTGGAGGTTGGAATTTCAGTAAAGCGCGGCACTTGGATTACTCAGTGGGTGGAGAAGGCAAAGGCAAACAGATATGTTGTCCAGGCGAGAGACTTCGCTGAATTCCTTGGAAGGTTGGGATTCATTGCACAGTTATTAATATGGTTGAAACCACACTTGGCTCCGCTCTTTTCATGGGCGGCTGTGACAGCAGCTGGAACAGTTTGCAGGCTTCCAGATACAGTCATTTTGACACTTCAATACATAGCCGCAGAGTTTGGGCGCGAGACCTTTTTGGTGTCGGCTTTGAGGCCAAGGCATTTTGAAGGGGAACAGTTTCGGACGGATGCAAAATGCACGGAAGAGTTCGTGGTCCTCGCTGGTTGGGAATTAAAATCAAAGAGATGGTTTTCTGTGAAGCTGGGGCCTTCTGAAGTCCCGTATCTTTTCAAGCCTGGCTTGGGTGCTCAGTGGGCATCCACCTCTGCGGAACTCCTTGCATCGCTGCTTGCACTACATATGTTTGGCTGGTTGGATGAGACAAAGGAGAGGAAAGCGATTGAGATCTCCCTAGTAGGGGGAACAGACAATCGCGCAAATGAATCGCTGTCTGCAAAGAGGTCAACGACGAAATGGCCTCTGATGGGGATCAACATGCAACTTTCTTCGGCTCTTTCGAGGGCGCGCTTGAGCCTTGGGTTAAGATGGAGACCTCGTGAAGAGAACACTGAGGCTGATCAACTTACAAATGAAGTTTACGATGGTTTCGAACAGGCACAGCGCTTACATGTTTCCTGGGGGGATTTGGACTTTGGGGTCTTGGATGGTTTGATTCGAACAAGAGAAGAGTTTGTGCGGTTGCGGGAAGTCGCAAAGGAGTCTTCGAAGCTGGCCCCCAAAGTGAAGGGGAAGAAGTTTGACAAATCACCTTGGTAGTTTTCTGGTTTTCTTGGCAGTGCAAGATTGGTCCCCTTGTCCTCTCCTAAAGTAGGGGCATTCAATCAGAGTCCAATGGGACATCAGTGAACAAAATTTCATTTCCTGGCGACACTTTACAATTTGGCACTACGACTGCTTTTGGACGTGTCTGCAGTAATTTCTTGGTGGCATTTGCCATGATTCCCTTCAAGGGGGAAGTGCGTGGGACACCACCACCAACTGATCAAAAAGAATCTTGCGTGTTTCCGTGGTGCCTTCACAGTTCATTGATTGCAATTCCAACAGTTTGCAGTTCAGTTGTGATGTCATTGCTTGTCAGCCGGTTCTGCAGTGTTGGTTTTCACGGCGCGTTGTTTTGTTGGCGCTTCGCGTTGTATCGCGTAAGTTTCCCCTTTACTGGTCCCCTCTTACCTTTCCAATATTTAGTGTAGCGTAGGCATCACTGAGCTTGCTCAGTGTGTCTATGTGAAACTAAGTATTGGCCGGGTGGGAGGGTGGGGATTACTGACTTGGGTCTCTAGACCTTTCTGGGTCTCTTGACTCTCTCTCAGGTTGGATTTGGCTGTTGGAGATTTCTTGGGCTTCACAAACGTTTTGCAGTTACAACAATTTTCGTTGCTGGATTTTCTCCATGATCTTTGTGATACTCTCTGGTGAGACTGTTGCAGTTGGTACAACTTTCGAGTTTTGTCAGTGTGATTTTGCTGTGCTTGTGAAACTTCACTTCTGTTTGACGTGTCTGGTTTTTGTGCTACAATTCAACTTGAAAGGCAGGTAAGGTTTCAAGTTCAACTGGTGCTGCTTCTTCGTATCATTGCCAGACCACACCTGAAATGATTTATTTCTCAGAAGCTTTGGGCTTCACACAGTTTGAGGTCCCGCCCGGCCCAACCCTGTTACGTTTCTTTACAGGGTGGGTCTGGCAATATTCTCACGCACTCACTTCAAGGAGATTACAAAGAAGGGGCATTCAATCAGAGTCCAATGGGACATCAGTGAACAAAATTTCATTTCCTGGCGACACTTTACAATTTGGCACTACGACTGCTTTTGGACGTGTCTGCAGTAATTTCTTGGTGGCATTTGCCATGATTCCCTTCAAGGGGGAAGTGCGTGGGACACCACCACCAACTGATCAAAAAGAATCTTGCGTGTTTCCGTGGTGCCTTCACAGTTCATTGATTGCAATTCCAACAGTTTGCAGTTCAGTTGTGATGTCATTGCTTGTCAGCCGGTTCTGCAGTGTTGGTTTTCACGGCGCGTTGTTTTGTTGGCGCTTCGCGTTATATCGCGTAAGTTTCCCCTTTACTGGTCCCCTCTTACCTTTCCAATATTTAGTGTAGCGTAGCATTGGATGATGCTTCTATGATACTGCATTTGACATCGGTATTCATTGAGATTCTGCACTTTTGATGAGCTGAGAATGTTCTAGAATGGACGGTATTTCATTGGATGCGATTTCGGTGACATTGCGTTTTGACCTCTGTATTTGCTGGAATTTGCGTTTTCAATGAGACGAGAGTGTTTTCGAGCTTTAGGGATTTAGCCGATTTGATCACAGTTTGTTTGGAACGGTTTTGGAAACATTTGAACATTTTCGGAAACGTTCGGAATATTGAAGAAGTATTTCAATCACCTTTGGACCATTTGAAGATGATTTGACATCACGAAGTTGTTCGTCAAATCATGCTGTAAAGATTTCTGTGAGTATCATCATTGGATGATATAGAAACGGCAAGTTTTGGTGCAACCAATTTTGTCGATGTTGTATACACAACATCTCCTGTGAAGCTAAGGTGCTATGGGTGGTTGATTCTTTATTATCCCGTTTGGGGTTTCTCCTCGGTGATGACAAAACACCCCGATGTGATGCCACTGTCGGCAGGTGAAAAGGGGTAAGTCTGAGGGGAGAAACCACAAACCTTGGTTTGTTGGTTTCTTGCCTCTGGTTTGTGTTTGGATTGGTTAAACCAACCACTTAATGGTACCAACTAGTTACACACTAGGTCGGAATCGTTGATTGTTGCGTAGGATGTTGTCTGAAACAACTTTTGATCTGGAATCCGCAGTTGGTACAGCAGTCTTTTGGTTTTGAGAAGTCCGTGTGACTTTGTGTTGCTCAACCAGAGAGTGGCTCGAGTAACAAGAGAATTTAAGACACTTGGTTTTGTGCCTTGTGTGACCTGTTTGTTAACGGCGCAAAAAGGATTTGGAACTCGCTGAGCTGAGTTGAGGGTTCATTAAGATTTTTACAGTATTGCAGGAGTATTTGGTGCTGGCAAAACCAGGTCCCTCGCAATCCTGCTCATTGCCCTCATCTGTGAACTTGAAGATTTCTCTGCAGTGGTGTTTACGAAGGAGAACGTTGCTGCAAAGGCACTAGCTGATCAAATATGTGACCTGCGCCCGCCGACCCAATCATCCTTTGGCCGTCTTCTTGGACGCATAGAGGAAGGTAAAGGTGAGGCTTATGCGACACGTATGGACGTCCGCTATAGTGACAGGAATCGCATAATTGCGCAAAGACGGATTCTCATCGCCACTGGCGGATCTGCTACCGCTGAATTGTCAATGAGATACTCTATGTTCAACCTCTGGTTGCCAAGGTGTGGTTTGCCTTCATGGACGAGAGTCAGCAGTATGGCAACTATCATGAAATTGCCTCGCTGGCAGCTATCCAGCAGCCCGCACTTGTGTAGGCGACCACAGACAGACTCCTGGGGGATTATCGAAGGGTCGAGCGGCAGCAACTAACCGGAAAAAACCGCTCCAGAGACCACTTGGCCTACGAGCGCTGAATCAAGTAGGAGACTACCTGCCGCCTGCACGACTCATCGATGGCACAGAAACAGAGGTTCAGAAGAACGAGCCGAACGATTTCGGACATATGTTGAAAACATGATGAGTCTGATGTGAAAAAGTTTCAAAGAAGTTCACTGGATGTCTACACAGACAAAAGAAGCTGGTTAGACGTTTGGTGATTTGGATGAAAAAGGGCTGAACATTAAGCCCTGCTCAACATTCAGAGGGGGAGTCCGAAACATTGTGCAGCCTACTCATACCTTTGGATGACACGCACAAATCAAGAAGATTTCAGTGCATTGCAGTCATGTTCACTTGACATGAACACTTGTCAAGGATTTCACGTGAGGCCCTTTTGGCTTAGAAAAGAGTGCGCAGTGCTCCGAGTTCTTTCGCAGTATGATATCTGAGGCGCTGTTGGTTCCAGAAAACTTGCGGAATCAAAGCGGAACCGGTTTGGTCCATGTGCCCATGCCTGGGACATGACTACGCTTGGCGCATTTTTTACACTGTTACCTTATTCAATACCATGATGTGGAAACATCGCTTAACTAAGGATAAAAACTGCACGGTTGTCATTATTTTGTGTTTGTGTATTACGCTTTCACATGCGGAAATTTGAAATTCAACTGTTGCACATGCAAAAAATGGTTTCGAAAAAATAATGTTGCGTCATTTGTTGTCAGTTAATTTGTTGTGCTGGTTGTCTTGTATTGGTTAATATGTTGCTCAGAACGTTGTTGCAGATGTTGATGTGGATGATGATGGGTTCCGTGTTCGAAGTAAATAGTTGCGTCTCGTGGTTTGTCCAGCAAACACTGAAATTGTGCGGGAATTATGTTGAAAAAAAGTGAACAAAACGAACTCGAACCACTGACATCGAAGCTGCTGCAAACCCCAAACATTTAGTTGTGCTGGTTTGGGGGTACGCCAAATGGATGCCAAGGACCGCTGCCAAGGTTTTTCTCATGACATGTTACTACATTGATGGCATGAATGGTTGCATGGTCTTTTTGCCTGAAACTTCATTGCGTTAACAATTTCGTCGGAAGGATGCGCAGGCACAAATGTTGCAGATGACGCAGTTCATTCTGAACGAGGTCTGTGTGGTCGATGCCAATTGTTAAAAAATGCAATCATAACATATACAAAATATGTGTTGGGTGGGCCAAATGCAGCTGGGCTTCAACAGGCCAGAGACAAAGCACAGGATATTGAAACAAAGGCGCTGCAAGTTTGGACCCCAGGTCTAGATTTGCATTTGGCGGCATGTTTGCCTCACAGCATTTTTGCTTGCTGCCGTGGCCATGGTATTTACTCCGTGGCACTCTATCCGTAAGTAGTTCACTCAAATACCCCAAAAAACTTGAATCAACCCTGCCAACATGAAAAAAATTGACGGAAGTCGATCTTTCAGATCCATTGCCTGGACACGAGGATGAAAGCATCGAACGGTTGAAAATTGTGAACTCAATGAAGGAAAAAATTCAGCAGGCCCTTTCCGTTCAGTTCCTGTGATTTCCTTCGAACATCTTCAAGTGAATTCAGTTGTTCAAAAATGCAAAATGCAACATTTCTCATTTCTTCTCATTTGCATTTTGCAATCATTCTTGTGGCGACACATAATCCAAATGGTTGGCCCTGCTAGGATTATGCAAGGAAAACCAAACAAATTGAGACCCAGGCCGGAAATTGTTGTGACCTAAAGCAGGACTAGCTTGCTAACCGATCACAAACGTCAATTGTTTGTTACATTAACTCATGTAGTCTGGACGGAGACCAATCAATATCAATTGGTTTGACTCATTTTGAAATGCAATGCATGTTGTAGGCAGCCATCGAGAGATCTACCGCCATCAACAGGCCTGTGAAATTTGACTTTGTTTTGAGTCAGAAAATTCAAAACGTTGAAATGCCAGAAAGGTCGAGACTGGAAAAAATCAAAAGCCGACAGGCAAGTTATCGGGACTCAGGGGTGATTTTGGAGGGTTCACATCCTTCTTGCAGGATCAACACATTCCACGAAGGGTTCTCAGGTAAAATGCATGTGATTTTTCGGGCGCTCTGACAATTTTGACAGAGACAAAATGGAAAAACCTTGTTGATTTTGTTGGTTTCTGAATTTTTGATTAATTATATAATACAATTCAAATACTTCAACAATGATCAATGATACTCAAAAAACGCAATGCATTTAATGTCCATTGTTGTAGAATCGTCAAATTATACAACCCAAAACAGAAGTCACAGAGCACGCAGAACACATGTATTCAGCTCAATTCCCGGCCACAGGAGATGTTGGGACAGCTGCAGGAAGCCTCACAGAAGGAGTTGGCCAAGCGGCTTGAAGACAAGGTGCAGCGGCACAGCGGCGCAACGAACAAAAATGAAACATGTTGTGACTAATGCTGCAGTATGTTGCAAACATTTGGAATATGTGTGCGGACTTATCACAAAATCTCATTGCATACATTGGCTGACTGTTTTTTTTAGACAACAGTGCTCTGTTCACTGTTTTTACTGCTTCAGGCCAAACAAAAGCAGTTCATAACCCAGCTCATTGTGCAGGGTTTGCTGATGCTTTTGGAGGTGCCTGTCACCATGATTTTGTCACCAGGAATTTCCCAGTCTGCAAACTTGAGGGATCTGTGAGCAGGCAAAGCAACCAGATTTGGCTTGCATCATCTTGCATCCTTGGTCAGGACAGCGTAGAGGTTCGATGTCGCAAATGCGATGAGGCGGCGGGGGACAGCATGACGGAACTGGCTCAAAATTCACTATGGACTAGAACTGGACCAGATGGGGCTTTGGGGGAACTTCATTTTCTGGATGTGTCAGCTTCATTTTGCCTGCATAAATGAAAATTCAAGGACGATAGCGATGATGTTTATTTTGATCCAGTTGGAGACGCAGGAGTGATTATTTTGCATGTTGTCCTCAGACCTTCTCGTGGTGAGGCACTGGTGGCAGAATGCATTGGTGATGCTGTGAAGGAATACAGTAAGGCGTGACAATTTTCATCCCAAGTCACCGCATGCCACAGACGATCAAATTGCAAGGGAGAGCAAGCGGAAAAACTGAAAAACAGAAATTGTATACTCTGCTGTTACCCACACGAGAGGTCATCAAGGACTCCACTGGTGCATCTAAGAACTGCAAGGTGACAGTGGATCAGGCTCATCGGACCTTGGATGGGGTCTGTCTTAATTGGAACGAACAATATTACCTTGTTTATCAATGTTTATCAATGTTTATCCATGTTTATCCATGTTTATCCATGTTTATCCATGTTTATCCTTGTTTACTTGTCACACCAGAACCGCATTATGCTACCTCCCCAAAAATATGCCGAAGTCAGCTGAGTCAGCTCCAAATTTCTATCAGCCACGAATTCTCGGGCAAGCGTTGATTGCCATTCCGAATGGGCCATTCCTCAGGACACTCATGGCACTCACGTGTGTCTAGCAGTCTATAGTAGACGAAATCCATCCAATATATCCAACTCCATGTCATTTCGGAGAGTCATCCCTGTGACCTGGCTATGACCTGGCTATGACCTGGCTATGACCTGGCTATGACCTGGCTATGACCTGGCTATGACCTGCTACTGCCCGGCCAGAAAGTTCAGTTGCCCCCAGCGCCAAGTGGCGATGCTTCGACGCCTTCCTGCTTGGGTGGTGTAGCCCGGGCACCTACAGTGCCTACATTGTGCACAAAAGCGGTGCTTGCTTTCCTGTTCCACTGTCATTAAACATGCAGATGCTTGAGTGCTTTTGTTGGATGTAGCTTCGGGCCTTGTTCACATGTTGTTGCGCGGTGGTAGAACAGCAACTTTGGATACACATTATCAGCAGGGTTTGGAATTGAAATGATGGCAATGCTTCAGGAAGACGGTAACTTATGGTGAAAGGCTAAGATAGATTCAGATAGATGAAATAAAATGAAATAGACATATACTGTACGTAGAAAGAAAGAAATATATGATAAGATAGATTGGTTGGATAGATTTACTAGACAGATGACTAGATAGACAAACTGAATAGACTAGATAGAGAGATTGATTGGATAGATTAATCAGAAAACGCGTCTAGTCTAGACGGATTCTTTGAAATAATTGGGAGAAAACACTTGAACTATGTCTGAGAAAAACGACGAAACATGACAAATGATTGGAGTGAGACAATTCATTATGTAGATAGGTTGGACATGCTAATTCGGTGGATTTTTATTGTAACATAAGATAGATAGATACGATAGGATAGGATAGGATAGGGAAGGAAAGGAAATGAAAGGAAAGGATAGGAAAGGATAGAATAGAATAGACAGAAGCATAGGAAGATCGCAAGATAGAAAGATGGAAAGATAGGAAGATAGAAAGGTCGGTGGATAGATTGGGAGGTAGGTAGGTAGATAGGTAAACAGATGGACAGACGGACAGACAGAGACAGACAGCCGGCCAGGTGGACAGCCAGGCAGACCGACAGAACAAGACACGACAAGACATGACAAGACAAGGCATAGCAAAGGCATAGCAAAGGCAAGCCAAGACAGGACAGACCAGGCAGACCAGACAGACAGTCTATTCTTTGTTTGATGGATTGGTTGGCTTGCTTGCTGGTTGGTCGGTTGGTTGGTCGGTTGGTTGGTCGGTTGGTTAATTGGTCTTGAATGAGTGTCGTGTCGGAGTCAGTCACTGCTTGAAGGAGTTCGTGGGTGCATGAATGTGTGGTTTATGAATACATGGGTTGAACGAACGTTCAGTGAGTAAAGGTTCGGGGTTGGATGACCGTGTGGGTGACCTATTGACTGCGTGTGGCTGACTTGATATTGGATCACTCGAGCGTGGCCAACCAGTGATTAACAGATTGACCAACCGATGAGTCCGACCCTGTCTTCGTCTTCAAGTATGCTTCAATAAACTAGAGAAGTACTTCGCAGATCTTCGCAGAACCTTGGTGGGGAATTTGAAATGTGTTTGCTTCAGGTTTAAGATGACAACGATATGGTGCAGGCAGTCGAAAGAATCAACACCTTGATGCTGTGCCGAAAATGCAATTTTCCAACCTTGGAGAAAGAATCACAACAACAGTGCGTATATAGCGATTCTGCAAAACATATACGGGAAGCAGCCACACCAATAGAATTAAGTTGCAGTACCATCGTGCCACTGTGAGAGCATGATCCGAACACTGGTCCAAACTCCAAGTTGCAACTGCCCCACTGCAGACCCCACCATGTTTGCTTACCATGCTGGCACACTAAACTGATTTCTGTCTTTCAACATGCAGCGTTGCTGCCACAAAATGTGGCATGCATGCATTTTACTTGTGCTCAGAAAAAAACTGCAAAAACACATTGCACTTTGGTATTGCCAACAGATTGAGTGCGTTGAGTAAAGTAAATCAAGTAAGTATAAGCATTGGGGGGAGAGTTCGGAAGTGAATGTAGTTGCTTCGAGTTCCGCATTTTCTCCATTGAATGGAACGACTGTTGCACTGCAGCACCACAGGTTTTGGCTTGCCAGAAGGGCGCCATTACCATTGACAACACCGTGGATTCCCGCTTGCAGCTGGTCATGGAACAGGCAGGGTGCTTCATGCAGACTTTGTGATCGACAAGTGCCATGGGAGATACGTCAGCATCGTCAGCCTTCGAATAGAAATTTGTGGAACATTGGAACATTGCACTCCTGATTGCATATTTTCCCTGCATTCCCGAACATTAGCATGCCAGTTTGCTGTCGTTTCCTCTACAACTCTGCCCAATCTGCCCAGCTGTTCCCCGGGTACTGGTCAAACTTCCAGGCAAAGCCAACGATTAGAAAGTTGCTGTTCAATTGAGGTGCGGAACTGCGGAACTCTCACTATACTTCCCGTATACTTCATATCGCACGCAGAGGGGCTTACGGTCTTATAATCTTATAGATTCTTATAGGCATAATATGTTGAAGGGAGCATTTTCACACAATTTGACATGTTGCAATGATGAAGATAAAAATCAAGACTTCTGTAGGGTGATACATTGGCTAAGCGGCTAATTAAATCAGATTGTGAAAGTGCTCCTTCAATTTCACCCTTCCCCCGCATCACCTGGTGGCAGAAATGTTAGGCGACAGGAAAGACACGCTGCACAGACAAAACTTCTGCATGAACAGATGTTTGCAAGCGGCAATAGAGCGGGATTGGCAACGCTTCAGATGATTGTGTACAATGCATAATGATTTTCCTACTCTCAGACTCTCAGACTCCACGAGTATTTTGTAAGCAGAAACCGGCTTGAAATGCAGTGGAAGTTGTGAACTGTGGATTGCATAGACAACTCTGGCTGCAGGTCTAGATAGTTTCTTACTGGCGGTGATTCTCTGAGGGGTAACCGAAAGGAAGTGGCCCCAGTTGAGATGATTGCTTTCGGGTGAGAAAGTGAAACTCTAGACTCGTGCAAATACACAATCAAAGTGACTTGAAGTTCTTATTGGATTGCTGGTTCGAATCTCTCAACTGTGGTCATGCTTTTGATAGCTCGTTCATTGAGATCATTTGACCGCTGGGCCATGGCCGTTATGCGGAGGTGAAAGTAGGGCTGATGGGAAGTGGAAATCGGGATTGCTACAGAACTCGGAGTCTAGGTGCTTCACAGGTGCTTACTGCGCCGAGTTTTGGATCACAAAGGGATACGGAGGGAGCATGTCTCAGATGCTTCAAACTCGCTTTGCTTTGCTTCGAATTAGGATATGATGCACAATGGATTCTGTCCTCAGCATGTGAGAGACAGTGAGATAATATGCATGTATGAGATTGTCTGCAGCCAGGGGTCGGTCGAATGTTGTCCGATTTCATTTCTTTGACCCTTTTGGTTTCTTCTCCATCGCTTGTAGAACAAGACTGCTTGGATAAAACATGATAAAACATATGTAATTACGAAAGCCAGCTGTCAAGCATGGCGAAGTTGCTCATTGCGAACAAAGTGAGAATAGGGGGTTCTGGGGGGTGGTCGTCTCCAAACGGACACTTTTGAGGCACTTCCCCACCTAATTAGGATGGCCACGGTGGTCGATTTTGAGGCTGATGTACCAGGTGGCAATTGGGTGACGGTGGGGTTCGATTCCCCACTGGTCCGTCCTCCGACGTGCATTTGGGGTGAGTGGAATGGAGGGTAAAAGGATGCAAAAATGGAGTCAAAGCATAACAGAACAATGGAAAAACTTGCAAAAAGTAATGGAAAAAGAGAGGGAATGGAAGCATAAAATAAAGGGGATGGATTGGAGTTTCGGGGCGGGGTGCACGATGGGGGGAAGGTTGGAGGGACAAGAGCGTGGCTTGGACGGGCTCTTTGGGGCGAGGAAGGAGCCCACATGTTGAAGGTCACCAATGGCTCTGGGGGGGAGGTGCGTGGCTGGCGGTGCACATGGTTAGATTGGAGGGAAGAAAGGGCGTGGCTTGGGGGGGGGGCCATTTGGAGTGAGGCTCTTTTAGGTAGCTGCTGGGAAGCAAAGGAGCCCGCAAGGTGAAGGTGGCAAATGAGTGCTGATGCCTGGCGGTGGGAGAGGAATGTAAAGTGTAAAGTGTAAGGTATGGAGTGTAGCGTGACGAGTGTCGAGTGTACAGTGTAGTGTGTGCAGTGTAGAATGTAGAGTGTGGAGTGTAAAGTGTAGAGTGTACAGTGTAGTGTGTAAACACACCACGGAGCTTCTTTCTCCACAGGCGCCCGCTTCCCCTTCTTGCCTTCCCTGCCGCCGACACGTCCTCTCCCCTTCCGGGCTCCTTTGCGCCCCGTCAGCTCTTTAAACGAGCCCCCCGTTCCACTTCCTCCTACGCTCTCTTCACCCTTCCCTACCTTTCCCACACTTCTTCCCTCCGCTCCTTCTTCCTACACATTCCTTCCTTCTCTCCAAGGGCTCCCCACGCCCACACCCAACACAGCCTCACCATGCCGACCCCTCCGCCCCTCCCCCGATGCCCCCACCAACGCCCCGCCGCAATCCCTCCCATGCTCTCCACTCTCCTGTCCCCGTTCAAACTTGACCCTGGCTTTCGTCCCCTCTTCTCAGGTTAATACTATGTAATCACCAAGAAGTGTAATAGTTAGAGATTAGTAATCCTATCTTTTGTCCCGCCCACGCCCCCAGCACACACCACGGCACAGCACCCCGCCCACGCCCCAGCAATGACAAAAGAAAACAACACAGAAAGCAACAAGAACAAAAACAAAGCAATACCAGCACTCGCACACAACCAACAACAGAAACAAAGCAATCAACTACAACAAAAATATTACATAACAGGATAGCAACAATCCACAACACCCCAACAAACAAAAAACCAGACAAAGCAAAGAACAACATAAAAAACAAAACAAAGAACAACAATAAATATAAACAATTATAAACCCCTACCCTTTAATAATCCTATCTTACTAACCCATAATTCTAAGTTTGCATGTTGTCGGTGAGGTAGGACTGGAACAAGCGAAGGACTCTTGAGTACTGTTCAACTTTCTCTTCCCTGATATATATTCTCCCGTTCGTTGAGATATTTTCTATACTTATATATTTATTATGATCTGATCTTGAGTCATAGCATGCACAATCGTGATTTCGCTCAGGACGATTGGCCTTTGCCATTTTGGACTCAAGAGAGTGATCACTTCCAGCCATAGATGGTCCTGTCAAGGCCTGCAATTGACCAGACGCTTGATCAGCAGGGATTGCGGCAGGTCCACCCAGAACTGGCGGGACCACCAGTGCTTTCTTCTCCAACTCCGGGTCGTGATACTGTAAGGCGATCGCCTCCTTGGGGAAGAGCCCAGGGCCGCTCGTTTTGAAGTACACCCGCAACCGCTCGGCCATACCGGCCAAGATGGTCCAGCAGCTCGTGAAGGATATGCTTGTCCATGAGCATCCGGTGGAGGCTGCCGACGATGTGGAGCTCGACACCGAAGATCCAGCCGCTCTTGACCAGTTCCAGTTCTATGTCAAGACCAACGGCTCAGCAATGGCTTATGACTGCCGATATCACTGTGTTGCAGAAGCAGACGATCGGACGATCGCTTGTGGGCGGCTCAAAGTGGAGGAGTGTACACACGTAGGCTCTTGCCTTCCTGACCTCTCCATGCTCTGTAAGCACTGCTCTCGCGCACGACCAGAAGTCGCAGCAGCTCACGGTGGTCGGCTCAGTTGCCTCTTGGTTGCGTTTAGTGTGGTGTTTGACGCTCTGCATCGAGCTCTGACACACACGGCTCGTCATGTTTTATTTTTCATTCCTCCAACTGTTTTTGGGGCAGCTCTTTGCTCAGCAATCGCTCGTGCAACACTCAAGCAGCCATGGTGGACCGCATCTACGAGGAGAATAAGACACCGGACTTGCCGCTCCGACAAATCTTTGGACGGCAGAGGGTGTCACAAGATCTATGCAAGCTCGCAGCAAATTCTGGCTTGCTCACGGTCGAGACTTTTGCTATGCTCGGCGATGACATCGCTGCAGTGAAGAACACGCTCAAAAGTTTGGTGCCAGATGTGGCGGCGTTTGGGGCGGATGGCCCGGCTCAGGAGCTGGCGCTCACCAGCCTCGCCGCAGTCTGGAAAACTTGTAGTACAATGCAGGATCATTTTGCCAATCGGCGCGCAAAGATGGAAGAAGATCCATCCAAAGTCCCAGAGATCCCTGGGGAAGATCATGCCGAATTCAGGGAGACGTTCGTCTCGCGCCATCCTGACGTTCTGCTGCCTCCTCATCGGGAACCACATCGCAAGTTCGTGGAGCGAGTTCAGCGCGACTATCTCGTTCATGGCTTCGTTCACTTCTACGAGGTTGGGGAAATTCGGACCCGCAACGAGAACATTGCTCAGAAGTCCGGCCTGACCAAGAATGCTGAAGATCTGCTTCGGGTGGTCATGATCGACCAACCGTCAGCCGCAAGCTCCGAAGCTCAGGTCATGGATAAGCTCCACGCCTTTTTCATCACCTTGGAGTACCTCAACATTTGTGAGTTCTCCGTGGATGCGGGCAAGTATTTAGCCCAGCTCGAGGAGTGGAGGCATGAAAATCGAGGACTCGCTTTGCTGCTGACCGTGGATACGCTCATCCGCAAGAAAGTTCACAGAGTGAGTTCAGACCAGCGCAAGAAGTTCACCAGCTTTTCTGCCGCTCTGGTAGAGGTGTTGGACAATCACAAGCAGCTCTGGAATGACGCTCGCTCCAGTGCTGAACTGGACAAATACAAGCAAGCTACGCTGACCCCGGCGCCAGTGACACCAAGGAAGCGCCCTCGGTCAGTGTCGCAAGAGCCGAAGTCAACGGCCAAAGCTCGGAAGAACAAGGCTCGGAGGGAGCGCCAGAAAGCACAGCTTCAGAAGGCAAAAGCTCTGACGAGCCCCTCTGCCAAAGAGGCGGCTCGCAAACCTGCTCGAGATGAACGTGTTCCCGCCAAGGAGTGGCAGAAGATCACATCGTTCAAGTCCCCTGGTGCGCGGCGCTGCCCTTTCTACAACAGCTCTCTGGGGTGTCGCTTTGGTGATCAATGCAAGCTCAAGCACAGCTGCGCCGAGTGTGGTCAGAACCACCCTTGGCATGGCAATCACTGATCGCCTACAGTGAAACCCCAGGTGGAGTTGGATCCTCCACCTGGGGAATGGGCGGCTGCTGCCAGCCCCACGAATGATGATCCGGCGGTCGCTCCGCCCGATCGGAAAGCGGAGCTGGGTTCCCAGCGGTTTTGGCCTGATTGGGATTCAATTTTGCATGATCGTAGCTTTGTGAAGGATGGCCCCTTCTTTTTGGAGCTCTTTGCCGGGCTCGCCGGCCTGACTGAAGCAGTTTACCTTGCGGGAGTGCCGGTGCTGCCTCCGGTTGACATCGTGCCGTCCCCGTTGGTGACTACACCTCGTGATCTGGTGGACTACGTGGTCTGGCGGCAGATCTTGGAGATTTTGGCCCTTGGTGTGGTGTTCTTTCTGCACTGCGGCACTCCTTGCAATACGTTCACATCAGCTCGCAAAGAAGATGGGGGCCCTCCTCCACTACGCTCTGAGTCCCAGCCGCTCGGGCGGGACGACCTGAGCGCGGACAACGCCAACTTGGTCTTTTTGGGCAATTTATTTTTGGAGCGTTCAGTGGAAGCCTGCTTTTTGGTTTTCAGTCTGGGCGGTGACTTCCTGATCGAGAACCCCCTGCTTAGTTTGCTGTGGTTGACACCCCAATTGGCCCTGCTCGTGCGCCGCACGCGTGCTTTTCACTTGGACTGCGATCAATGCGCGTTTGGCACACCGTGGAAGAAGCCGACCAAGTTTGTCTGCTCCTCGGAACTGCTAGATGCTCTCGCCGTTCGTTGTCCAGGTGGCCATGTTCACAAGAAGCTCAAGGGCAAGGTTTGGGATCCACAGCAGCAGCGCATGGTGTTCAAGACCAAACAGGCTCAAGTGTATCCATTGGCGTTGTGCGCCACAATTGCTCAACAGATTGTGCAGATTTTTGCTCACCGGTTTTCGCATTTTGCCAAGTCTTTTCAGCTCTGTGTTCCTGGCGCCGATCGGAAACGTGCTCTCCACTCGGCAAAGGAGTGGGCTGGCCATCGTCAAGCTGAGACAGCCTCGAAAGCTCTGGCCGCCGGCTATCAGTTGAAGCGGGGTGCCGCCAAGCCGTTGTTCGAACTTGAACTTGAACCAGGTGAAGCCGTGCAGTTCGCTCTACAACTGGTACATCCGTTCTCACGGCCAGCCCCCCTGCCGGCAGCGCTAGAAGAAGCTATTTCATTTGGTGGCGACTGCTCCACAGGCAGTGCTCGAGTTTAGGGCTGCCGCCTTGCAATTTTGGCACGGCAGGGCGTTGGCTCTCTTGCCTACCTCCGTTCAGTGGATCATGCAACAACCTGATGCTGCTCTACGGAGGCTCCTGCTCGGCACTTCGGATCCCCGCCAAGCAAGGCTGGGCGACGTGTGCCACGTGGCTTTGTACAAGGAGATGCTGGAGGCAGCTCAGTCAGAAGACCGCTCTTTGCACAAATTTTTGCTCGAAGGTTTTCCCATTGTTGGTCCCATTCAACCATCCGGCCGCTGGCCCCCGTTTGAGAAGCCTCAAAGGGTGATCGCGGTCCAACATGCTCTGGATAGGGCCTGGGAGATTCGGGCTAAGATAGTGAACAGAGTGCGCGGAGTTCCAGTGACTGACAACTTGCTCAAGATTTGGGAGGCCACTTTGGAAGATGTGGCAGAAGGCTCCTGCTTGGGCCCCTTTGACAGTGAAGCGGAGGTCACTGAGCTCTTAGGCCAAGATGATTGGATCCCTACGCAGAGGTTCGAAGTGGTCCAAAAGAACAAAGTGCGTGGGTGTGACAGTGCCACCACGAACTTGATCAACCAGATCACAGAGATCACGGAGAAGCTCCAGCTGCCATCGACGGATTCAAATGTGGCAGCTCTGCGGAAGCTCCAAACAGCAGCTCCTGATGCAGAGTTGTTTGGTTGGGTGCTCGATGAGAGAAAAGCTTATAGGCAAGTGGCCGTTCGGCCTGATCACCGGAAATTTTCTGTGATCTGCCTGAAGTCTCCAAGAGTGGGCAACCCAGCTTTCTTTGTCGTGGTAGGACATTCGTTCGGTTTGGTGTCTGCTGTGTACAACTACAACAGGCGATCTGCTGCGATCGATGAGATTTTGGTTTCTTTGTTCAAACTTGTTGCTTTCAGCTTTTACGATGACAAATATGGTTTTGAACCGGCCGCGTCGGCTGCTAGCGCTCGTGAAGTTGCCGAAAGTGTTCACTGGTGGCTTGGCGCAAAGTTTGACCAGAAGAAACTTCAGCTCTCTCCGGATCCAACGATCCTGAGCGTGACCTATAACCTGCGGCTCATGCAGTTGGAGATCAAGGAGGACAGGCGGCGCGATTTGCTTGAGGAGATCGACTCTATCTTGAAGTCGGGGTTTTTAGATCCGGGCTCAGCAGGCAAGCTGAAAGGGAAGCTCATGTTTGGTGCCTCCCAGCTGTGGGGAAAGATAGGTCGTGCTTTCCTCAGACCGATCTCTGAGCGCCAATACTGGAAGTTTCCCCCATCCTCTGAGTTCAAGCTCGATCATCAGCTCGTTGAGTCTTTAGCTCAGTGGAGGAAGCTGATTGATTGTGGTCCGCCTAGACCCATAGATCTTGCTCGTGAGCGTTTGACAGATGTGGTGATCTTCACGGACGGCTTCACTCCAGACCCGAGGTCTTCTGACAGAAGTCCCGATCGGATCGGTGGCGTGATGTTTGATCGAAGAGTGAGGTGTCCGCGGCAATTCACTGCAGTGGTACCTCCTGAGATCAGCAACAGATGGCTGAGAAGAGCGACGCAGATCATGCCCATTGAAATGCTTGCTCCTGTCGTTGCTCTCACTACGTTTGCTGATCGGCTCTTCGAAGCAGACTTGATCTTGCTCATAGACTCGGAGTCTGTTGAAGCTGCGCTCGTGAAAGGCTATTCGAGCCGGGAGGACATGTGCGAGATCATCACCCTGTTTTGGGAAGTCGCGCTCGCATTGAGAGTTAGAGTTTTTATAGATCGAATTTCAACGGATGCTAATCCAGCTGATTGGCCATCCAGAAACAAGTTATGGTTAGGGGAAGCAGCTGGTTGGTCCACAGTTAAACCAGTTTGGCCGACGTCGCTCGACATGGGCGTTAGAGGGCCTGGGTAGATTCTGTTTTGCTCCTTTTTGGCATATGAGAGTTTAAGTTTGACAGACGGCTCTGACCTTTCATGTTGTGTTTGAGCTCAACGTGTGTCGCTGCTCTCTTTTGCTCGGAGACAGATCTCGCATCCCATCCTGTTTGTGATCGACCATTGTGACTGCTCGACCCCATGCCTTGTGCAGTCCAAAAAGTGCTGTGACCACGTGCGACTGCCGGCATGTTTATTATCTGCATCCTTGTCATTGCATATTTTGTTTGCATTAAGATTGCTATTGTTCCCTTGATCAAGGGAAATGTCAAACGAAGAAAGTTGAAGTGGGGAACCGCGGATCCCCACGAATAGTATGCTGAGAGTCGTTTGCATGTTGTCGGTGAGGTAGGACTGGAACAAGCGAAGGACTCTTGAGTAGTGTTCAACTTTCTCTTCCCTGATATATAATTTCCTGTTCGTTGAGATATTTTCTATACTTATATATTGATTGTGATCTGATCTTGAGTCATAGCATGCACAATCGTGATTTCGCTCAGGACGATTGGCCTTTGCCATTTTGGACTCAAGAGAGTGATCACTTCCAGCCTGAAGGGTTTTTCTCCCGCCCAGCCCACCCCTGAATTGGGGTGGGTTGGGAGTCCTCCACAACCCACCAAATTTTGAAGTGGAATGGCTGGAGACATCCAATGCTTTTCTAGATGGGTAGATTCTGTTTTGCCCCTTTTTGGCATATGAGAGTTTAAGTTTGACAGACGGCTCTGACCTTTCATGTTGTGTTTGAGCTCAACGTGTGTCGCTGCTCTCTTTTGCTCGGAGACAGATCTCGCATCCCATCCTGTTTGTGATCGACCATTGTGACTGCTCGACCCCATGCCTTGTGCAGTCCAAAAAGTGCTGTGACCACGTGCGACTGCCGGCATGTTTATTATCTGCATCCTTGTCATTGCATATTTTGTTTGCATTAAGATTGCTATTGTTCCCTTGATCAAGGGAAATGTCAAACGAAGAAAGGTGAAGTGGGGAACCGCGGATCCCCACGAATAGTATGCTGAGAGTCTAATATTAATATTAAAATTATGTTAGTCAAACAGTTTATCTATATGCTCTTTTATCCCATTCATATCACAATACTTCTTATCAGAACCAATCAGGTCATCAACATATTCAACAAACAACTTTTAATCAGTTCATTGATTGGATATTCTCTATTTCTAAATCTATACGTGTTATTACGGTTTGCCAAAAAAATATCTTTTATTATCAAACTATTTCTCCTTCACCTTTGGTTTATCAAATATTCTGTCAATTTCATTTTGAAATTCTTTGCCACCATCACACCAAGTTGATGCTTCTGGTAAAAATGTTTTTTTTGTAATACCTAAGAAAATTAAGTTGTATTTCTGGTTTTGTATATGTCTTAATACAGTTAATATACTTCTCACTGTATTTTTGTTCTCTTTCTTTCATATCTTCACACCTCCAGCAACCAAAATATTCACCAACCTTACGACAAATATCAACAGGCAACACATCCAACATCACATCCCTTTTCCTGCTCTGATGTAACTTACACATATCACACTCACCATAATTAAATAGTGCCATTTTTTCACTAATATATAGGATAATATCTCTTTAAGTAGTTTAAGATATTTAAACTTTTAAAACTCAAATCTTAAATACAATCTGCTTCCCTTACTTGTTTTGTAATATTCTTGGTTAAGTTTTTCAGTTATGCTTTCAACTGTGTATTTTTGTTCCGACCAAGTGCTGGTTCTTTCTTTTTCAGTTATTGCTTTCTTTCTATAAATCTTTACTTCATCTCCAACTTTTAGTTCAGGATATTTACAGGTTTTATTTGCTTTACTTGTCATTAACGGTTTGCTTTCAGGTGGTTCTCTGATTTTAATGCTTCTTTTGGTTTCATACCTATACTTGAATGCTGTAAATGATTATTATATGTGAGTAATATTTGAAAAATATTATCCGTCCACAGAATGGTCTTTTTTGAATTCTTCTTAATGTCATTGTCTATACGCTTGTAAAGCATATTCTTAAAACTTCTAATTGCCCTCTCACTAAAATTAGCATGTCCTCTCGTAATATGATGGTAGATATTTTGTTCCTTCAAGTATTTCTGTATAGCATCAGTGCTTAATGCTTTCTTGTCGTCACTAAAAATAATTTGTGGTTTCTTGTCAAATTTGTTTAACCCCTCAATCAGTCCTGCGGCAACATCTCCGTCACCTTTACTTTTAATAGGGATGACAACCATATAACGAGAACATGTATCAATTAGAATCATTCCTACTTTGTTATTTTGCTTTTCAAGGTCATTAATAAAAAACAAATCCACCTGAAATTCATAGTATGGATATGGATTTACAAATGAATTAGAACCCCTCAACTGTTTTTTCTGCTCTACATTTTTTCTAAAAAATATATCTATATCGGACATTGTTATAGTTTTATCCTTCTCTCTGCTTTCTTTGAGTGTGCTTTGTTTAGAACCATATCCTGCCTCATTGAAATATACCTTCTCTATAATATCTTGTTTAGAAGTCATACTAATAAACAATATAATATATTTATTCTTTTTGTTGATTTAACCAGTCTTGGTGTTTCTTTGTTCTGAAATGCTGTGCTCTGGCATCTCTGACATAAGAACCACCGCAACCACATGCTGTTTTTACGCTTCTTCTTGCTCTTATTGCTTCTTTATTGTTTTCATAATAGTTTTTATCCTTTTTTACATGTATCCAAGTTTTGTTCTCTGTATTCTTTTCTTTTTTGTTTGGCATGCTCTTTATTATTTTCATACCATTCTTTGCTGTAAGCATTCCTTTCTTCTCTATGTTCTCCGTGATATTTTCTATCCTTTTCTTTGTATTGTTCTATGTTGTTAATCCGGTGTTCTTTTTTGTTATTTAAAAGTTTTTCTCGGTTGGTGTCATAATATTCTTTTGGTGTTCTACCTACCACATTTATTTACACATTTATCAATATTCTTCAGTATTTCTTTTCCTTCTTCTCTTTCCAATTCTTGTCTATTATTACAAGGAAAATCTTTAATAAGTAGTATTTTACAATTATACCAGAGAAGTATAACTTGGAATGACGTTTTGGAAAGTTAACCA